GTAGAGAGAGAGGGTGAAGGAGAGGGAGAGAGAGAGAGAGAGAGAGCGAGAGAGAGAGAGAGAGAGAGAGAGAGAGATAGATAGATTCGGTGCATCAGCGTTTGGTCGAAAGGCTGCGCGTCACGCACGCGTCGCGCTCACAGCCGAGATTTTATAGACACGTTCACATGCGTTTGTAATATCCGGGTTGGAAGGAGGGAGTGTCTCAGATTCCCAACAGAAACACGCTGGAAAGAGCAGCCAGAGAGACGTGCTCCGCGGAGTATGGCATCGGGCAGAGGGAAGCGGAAGCGCAGCGCGATGGAAACGGGTTCCAGCTCCTCCGTCAGGATTTAGATCGGGGTCCGCGATGGAAAAGCCGCTGTGCTCGTCGCAGCCCGCGGAGAGGAGGCTGGCGGCTCGGACGGGCTCGGGCTCGGGATCGGGATCGGCCTCTCTCGGGTTCGGAGCGTCTCCGGCGGGGAACATTGCGCCGCTGCAGCCCGGACGAACGCGCAGGATAGAGGGAGTGCTGAGCAAATACACCAACCTCATCCAGGGCTGGCAGAACAGGTACCGAACCGTGATGAAGTTTACACTGACTGAGCTCAACTCGTGGCTGCAGTATTACCACAATACGTGACATTTCGATAAATCATAAACTCTATTTTAGACCTAAATATGATTTATTTAGGGTTATTTTGTTTGTCATTTTTTTGTTTCGTTTAGGTATTCAGTTATGACAGGATTTATTAGTTCATTAGCTACTCGTGTTATAGGCTACTCACATACTGTATACACTGTAAAAAAAATGATTGTGATTTTAACAGTAAAATACTGTAAAAATGATACAGTAAAAACCTCAACTTACTGTTAACCTTAATTGGTTAACAGTAAGTTTCCATACTATATACGGTGAATGAATGTAATTACATTTAACGTAATTTTACAGTAAAATACTGTTAAAAGGTTTTTGGAAGTGAAAAAGAAAAAGTCATTGTATAATTAACAGTGAAAAACCGTAAATTGACACTCCCAGAATTCCCTGCATGACACATCATAGTTGATGTTTTTTTGTTGCAATAACATGTTTCTTCTTAGTTTTTTCTTATCAGTTGTGTACATTAGGTTTTAATCTTACATCTAATGTTGTTAAATGAATGTTTATTGCATTATTTCAGTATCATGTGTGTCACCGTGATGGGGTTTAGTGTTGGTGTGAATGACACTGTGCACATTCTATATATAAGTATTGTCCTCCTCAGGTCGCAGACAAGCTGTTTGTGATGAGCTTTGGTTCATCATGTGACTTTCTCATCACCACCAGTTTTTGGTGGTTATCAGTGCATTACAATGGTTCAAAACAGATATTAGTATATTAACATGTTGGTTTATTAACATTGCATCAGTTAATGAAATACAGTATTTTATTGTGAATTTAAGTCAAGTCTGTAAAACCTAAAATGTTGCTACCATATTTTT